ATATATATATATATTCATTCTATATAGGGGCTGCACCCACGGGCGGGGGCAGCACAGGTAGAAGCCTCGAGCAAGGCCACGCACCGCCTCTGCACCGAACCCCGCTGATGCTGTGATGCGCGCCCTTTGCGGGCTTCCGCAACCCTCTCAAACTTGGCAAAACATTGCCTTGCGCTGCAGGTTGCGGGCGCCCAGAGTGCTCATGTGCTCGCCGGCCGGCCTCTTGGGGTCGTCCACGGGAGCCCCGAAGCCCGCCATAGCCTGGGGAATGGCTGCGAAACGCGTGCGTGTTCCGAAACGAGGCCCCGCGCGGCCCGGTGGAAAAACGAGGGTGCGATGAAGCGGGTCGGCGGCACTGCCGGTGAAGCTTGCACGCTACACCTCGGCGAAGCCTCAAAGGACGCATGCGCTCGGGGACCGAGCGCTGCCCAATGGCTGACCCCAATGCCGCCGACCCCCCAGGCGCAGGTCCCTCAGGGCTGTGGCGGTTCCCTGTTACGCGCTTTCGCGGTATGCTGTGGGTGAACCGCCGCGTTCGGAAAACACGAAGGCAACAGACAGAAAAGAAAGAGGGTGTGTGGGTTCATTCATGAATTGAGGAGATAATTGAGGTACCGCAACTAGATCAACTAGTATACATCATCGTGCATGTGGCTTCGATTGAACACCAGCCACATCGTCGTCGTCTCGTTCCTCCCTGCACCGCCGCTGCTGGCCGCTTTGCCAGCAGATGGGGCCGCCGCGACTCCGGTATCTGGCAGGACGCAAACGGCACACACTTGTTCTCGGTGTTTTGCTTTCTGTTGGGCTTGCAGAAACATTCGCAGCAAAACCGTCTTTTGCTAATTTCAGTCCTGTGCTCATGTCATCACCGTGTTTGGTTTACATACGGCACCAAGTAGTCACATTTAGTCGCCAGATTGCTGGAAGTTCATAATGTGATCTGCAGCACGTCTTCCAGCTTTGACCACATACAGCCTCCATACTAGCCCCGCCCTCAAACGCGGAGTAAGCCGCAGCGACTCCGACAAAGAAAATCCTCAGGGTCTCTGCGTTGCCTGCCGAAAGCACCCACTTGCGCGGTGCCACGACCTGCCCGCAGTGCAATGCCGGGTGTGCATGCAAATACCCGAGACGGCCGCAACATCTTCACATATATACTATACACACAGTATATATGTATATGTACGTATACATGGACAGATAGACAGACAGACAGACAGACAGACAGACAGACAGACAGATAGATAGATAGATAGATAGAAATGAAGGTCTGCGTCTAGGGCTTTGGTTCCGGCTATGTCTCTGCCTATGCCTGCCTACGCATATGCATGTGTATATATATACACACATACATATGTGTCACATATATGCCTGTACATGTGTTTCTGCTCCTGTTTGTTTTTTGTGGACTTGTCAGATGGAGCGACAGAAGTTTCGAGCTTCGTCTGCTGGCTGCTTGCAGGGCTCTGGCGCGGGTTTAGTTGGATCGCCAGAGCTGAGGAGCCCGTGTTTGCAGACCTACAAAGTTGCTTCCACAGCTTGGCTAGCACATCAACGCAGTCCTCAGTCGAGCTGCGCTGTGCCAACTCCTTTTCCTGGATCCTGGACCACCTTGCAACACTTCCCAAAAGAAGCCTCGTCTTCGTGGATCCGCCCTACGACTCCTGGCCTGTTATCAGCAACGCGGGATAAGCAAAAAGGCCGAAAGGGACGTGGGGACTTGAGTCTGAGGAGCCCTACGATGTTTCTATGGCCTGCAATCTGGTGCTGCTCGAAGAGCTCCTTGAGAAGGAGCGGGAACCGACACGACAGTCTTCCTGGAGCTGGGTCTCTTGGGGAATCAAGGGTGACTGCGAGTAACAGCGGAACCGTAGGGCCACGACCCCATGCAGTTACCATATGCTTCGCGAGGAAGCCTGCTGCGTCGTGTGGTATCCCTTGCTGGATGGCCTTGACATTGCACCTTTTTATCAACGGATTGCACAGCTGACCGAGGCAGCTGATTGGAATGATCGAGCGAAGCAGTAGGAAGACGTGTTGAAGTTCTGTTGAAGACATTCTCCCTATCTTGGGCCACATGCGAGCATTGACGCCCCAAGCGGTGAGCTTTTGGGGTTTCATGTGTCCGATCGAGAATGTCAAAGTTCTGCTCATCCTTTGGCCGTCCCTCTCTCCCTGAGTCTTCTTGACCATGTTGTAAGCAGCCTTTGCCGGATTTCTCTTTTCAGATCGTCTTGCATCTCAGCGAGTTTCCGGTCCAAGTTCCGTGTTGCTGTCACAACCCTCTCATTCCTGGCAAGATTTTCCGGGCCTCGCAAGCAACAGATTGCGCACGCGGGGGCGTCGGACCGAACAAGTGCGACGCGATGCTGGAAGTTGGCGGGGGGCCATGTCGATGTACATCATGCCGCGATGCGACAAAGCCCTCTGATCAAGCAGCAAGCACTAAGCACCAGGAACAGCCATTGAACTTGTTTGGAAAGGAAGCAGGAACGCAAGAAACAGTAGACTCAGTAGATTAAATACTAGGAATGCAGCACTGGAGCTGGCCAAAGAGCAAGAGGAGCGTCTGCCCCAGAGCGACTGCCGCGAGCTGACGACTGCTCGGGTAGCGGCATGCCGATTGTCGCAAATGCTTAAGCGGCCTACTATGGCTTCGCGGCGGCCAGGTGCAGGGGGATGCACTGGTCGTGGAATTTGGGTTTGAGACATCCGGCTTGACTTCGCTGCAGAGCTCTGGAATTCTCATGACCCACCCACCACAGAGCCTCGAAATGCAGGAAGTGTCTTAGGGGGAAAGATGCGCTCCGCCCTAGAGCCCAATCACCGCTGCAAAAACCACTCGCCCGCATCGTGAACTCCGATTCGTGCCAGACTGAGGATAGACTCACAAGTCGCGAAAAGCTTAGAAGCATTGCGGCTCAGAGTGCACGTGGAAGGAATGTCTGCATTCTCCAGAAAAGGGGCATTGCAGGTTCTGGATTCAGCATACATGTTACTCTGGGAATGTTGGGTTTGCCAACTGAGGGCTGAGAAGCTGGACCCTGGAGGCGTGGCGGGTGCCCGTGTTTCAGTGTTTCGGCTGTCTGCTTGGGAAGGGAAAAAGATCGCCGCTCTGAGCTTGCTGCATGTGAATATTATTGCAGCCCAATAGCATCGCACCTGTGAGTTAAACTCATGTGCAGGCCTGATCAGCACAGACAGTAAACGTGAACGTAATGAGGAGAGATAACCACACACTCGCTTTCTAGTTGTGAATTCTTCTTACCTCTGAATTTTCTGGTTTTGTATTTCTACTTGAGGTGAGATTGCAAGGAAAAGAAGCTGAATAGACTAAATGTTAGCTTCTAGTAGAAGTCAATTATTCGTATCGTTCGTCTCTTCTTCTGTTGCTTGATTTGGCTCTCTGATTGCCCACTGCATGGCTTGCTCCCGAGTTGTGCAACAACTGCGTCGTTTCAGTCACTTCCGCCTCAGGCTCATTTTAAGGGGGGAGCGTAGCATGACCAAGCTGTGCAAGCAGCGTACACTGGCCTCATAGAGAGCTCGTTAGTTTGATCACATCAGGTCGTGAGGCTGTAAGCCCTGCAAGACAGCAAGGCTTCATGAAGCCTTCAGGGGCTCAATGTGCTTGGGTGTCCAGCAGTCATGCAGTATTTGACTCAAGAGCAAGACTAGAGCAACAGCGTTGAAGGCTGAAACCTTGCCGAGAGTTTCACTTGGGAGCCATGGCCGAGCGTTGAGAATTGTTCGTAACCTATGGCAGCAAACCGACCCGTGGAGCTCAACAACATGGCCGAGGGCGAGGTCGAGCGCCAAGTGAGCGAAGGCCTCTGCTGGATCTGCAGAGACCCGGACAGGCCAGGGCGCGAGTGCCAGTGCTCAACATGTTCTGATTTTGCACTGCTTAGGTACTGAAAGCTCTAAAGGCTCTCTTAAGGCGTAGAGTTCATTTTTACCGAAATGCCTTTCGCATCGCTGCCAGGGCCGAGCCCTTGGTGGCACCCTGCCGCTGCCGCGGGAGCATGCGCGGAGTGCACGCGCCGCTCGGAGAGAGGTCGGTGCGAATTGCACGAAGCGGAAGTCTGGGACAACCCTCAGCCGAGGAGCTGCATCGAGTCCTGGGTTGCTGCGAGACAAGAGCAGAGGATGCGCTCGGAGATGCAGGTCGGCGGAGTAGCATGGAGTCAGCTTGCTGGGCTTTGCGCCCCCTCAGGGTGGTAACAGTGCTCAGCCCAGAATCTGCTGCGATCTGCCGGAGGCTCACTGCATGTGGCTGCACTTAGCCGGGCACGCTTGGCCGGATTCGGCCGGGCTGCGCTGATGCCGAGGTGTGGCGAGCCTTACCAGGCAGAGCACCAGCCAGCCAATCTTTGTGAATGTCTGCGGGCTCGGCCCACAGCAAGTCTTCAAAGGGTGCGCTCTCCGCTCTGCGCTGCTTTGTTCCCGTGGGGAGGCCCACTGCCGCAGCTGCGTAGAGGAGATGCGAGACTCCAGGCTGAGTGCCCGGCAGGCCACGTCGCTTCCACTTCCTCACAAATGTGTTTTTCTCTACCTCGGAGCCAGAGGTGCTGCTCGTGATGTTCTTCACCGCCTGGCTGCTTTTCGTTCTTTTGGCCACGGCCGAGTTGGTAGCCGGCTATCTCATGCAGGCCTGGCCTAGCATGACCCCTGAGATGCCATCTTTGCGGGGGCCGAGCTTTCAGGCATGCCGAAAGAGTTCCTGCTGGATGGCAAGTACTGTGCTGGCCCGGGGCTTCGGGGCTTCGGGAGGCTCTCTGGTTCCCGCTTTTCAGAGAGACTGAGGCAGTCTGCTTGTTGACCTTGCTGCTCGAGACACTTGCTCAAAGTACAGCCACTCGTTGCGGGAGGTGTCATTTCTTTCCAGATTTGGGTCCTTTTTGGCAGAAAGACAAGCTTGGACTGTTCAAGATGACCCTTGTGAAGCATGGGTGGCTCCGCACATGGCCGCAGATGTATAGTCCCGAATCTTGAACTTAAGCAGAAATTTTCCGCTTCACCTGCACCTTTCAGAGGATGGTGGTCGTCTTGGTATCCTTCCCCTACTCTGGGACTCCTCCCAGCTGCACGGTTCTACGGCCTTTCCACATTTCCGCGACCGACCCCAACACGAAGGTGCCATGCCCGGATGAGATCTCCTGCCGCCCGCATCCATCCCGTTTCAGGCCGTCGTGTTCCTCCTGTGGCTTCATTTGTGGATGGCACCGCTCATCTCGGCGCTCTGTGGCTGCCTTCTTCGCGCCGCCTCCATTGCTCCCAGCGCATCTCGGCCTTTAGGCCATTTCGTCACGTGCGGAGTCGGGCAGCCTTTCTGATCTTGATTCTCATTCGTGTGGTCGGAGTCAAGGCAACGCCTGTGTAGGGCTTAGCGCTTGGACCGAGCACCAACGTGCAGAAGTCGGCGTGCTCATGTCTTTGCGCGAGGTGGCCTGGTGGCTGCTGGGGATTTTGGTGGTGCCACCACTGATGCCTCACTTGCACTTCGGCCGCAAAGCCAGCTTTCTCCAGGTTGACATCAAAGTATTGTTGCAGTGTCGCAAGCTTGAGGGGTGCGTTGGTAAGGAAGCATGCCTGCATCGCTTTGCGCGGCTTCTCCTGGCAGCAGATGGCTAGCAGTTGTGCCACCTTCGTGCAGGACAGTTCAGGGCACGTTTGCAGGAGTGCCGCCAGCACCGCATGAACGAAATTCAGGAGTTGCAACGCATGGGCAGGGCTTGCTGTTCCAGTGCCTGTCCTGCACCGCCTGCACCCAAGCGAGTCCTGCTCGGCCGCTTGTGGTTCGCTCTCAGGCAGAAGTCTCGAGCGCACCTGCGGCTTCCTGCGGCTGGTTTCGACACTTGGCTCCTAGAAGGCAGGCACGGTCGCCGCATGTCGCAGCGCTGAGCCAAGGAGCCCCTCTTTGCCGTGGCTGCACGTTTGGCTGGCCTTCCCTTTCGGCATCGCCTGGTTCTGCTCGGCACCGGCCAGGCTGCGCTACTGGGTGACGGGCTTAGCTTGAGTCCTGCTGTTTTCGATCACGGCGATAACATATTGTGTGATCAGTGTGCGAATCAGGTACTGGGCCTGAGCGGTGGCATTGGCTGCGTTGCCTCTGCCTTTGCCTTGCTGCAGCTCTGCTTAAAGGGACCTCAGCACGACGACTATCTCTGTCCCTACGAGGCAGGCACTGCAGAGATGTTTTGAGCCTTGTCCGCTTTGTGAGAATGGCAACAGCCATGTAACCATGCCGGTCTTTTTGCAGGCCTCCGTTCGAATGCATGCGGGCTGGTTCCTTTCCCTTGTCATGTTGCTCTATGCTGCTTTCAGTTCCTTATCCAATCCTTATCCAAAGACCAGTGCAAGCGAAGTGCCAAAGCCATCCTCTCCACAAGTGCCGGATCCTGGCCACTCAGGTGTTTTCGCAGAATGGCATTTCCTACCGCACTCAAAGCGAGACCCGGTGAGAGCCAACGTTGCTGTCTTCGCGGTCTGGTGCGTGTGGCCACTTCCCTCAACTTGCCGGGGAGCTGCGAGGAAGGAGTCTGTCACAGCTTTCAGTCAGAGTCTGCTCAGGATGTCACTGGTGACCAGCTTGGCCCTCTATGTGGGACTCTCAGCTGACAGCCTCGACAGCCTCGACAGCCGAAGCTACGAAGCCTCACAGAGAGCAGACAGGCCAACTGCACCATGCTGTTGGGGTACAGCCAGACTTGGCGGAGACAGCATGGTCGCCTGCGGATCGCTGGAGAAGCTCTGGCTCGTGTCTAGAGAAAACTGGCCATGTGCGTGTCGAACTTCTGCATGTGATGCTGAAGCCGGAGGGAAGCAGGCTGAAGACAGATTCTTCTGGTGGTTTCAAGGGGGCGAATGCAAAATTCATTTCAGCTGTTTGGGCTCTCGCGGACGCTGGTATCCGCCGACCGGGTGCACGTGGCTTCGGCTATGGGCTGGTGACTCAGTTGCCGTGAGCTTTCGCTAAGCCTCCTCAGTGGACGGGCTGAGGTACTGTCGGGTCGGCAGACGACTTTGGCTTGTGCAGGCCAGGCCCTTGCTCGCTGCTCAGCCCGGCTCAGCCCGGGCGAAGTTCGTGGGTGCAGGCCGTGTGGTCGTGAGGAACTTTGTCGAGAGGCATCGTTGTAGCTCGGGAGTTCTTCTTGTTGGCTCGGGCTAGGGCCTAGTATCAAAACGAGTGGGCACCTGTTTCGTGTCGTCGAGGCGTTCTGGGCTGACAACTCTCGCGGTCTGGGGTCTGCTGCTCATGATGCCATATGATGCCGATGCCATCCACTGCTCTGATCTGGGGCCCAAGGGTTGTTGGGACTGAGGCCCCTGGTACCTGCCTCGGCATCGGGCTGGAACTCTGCGCAGCAAGCTCGGCTAAAGACAGACAAGCGCTGAACTTCAAGGGCACCTTTGGACCCAAGTTTGTGTCGGAAAGTTGGAAAGTAGCATCGTCCTTTCGATTCATTTCTTCCCGAACATCTCACCTGAGAACCTGAGACGGAGGCTTTGATTTCCGGTCGGATCAGCAAACGGCACATTGCCATGTAGCGGTCTCTCCATGTTAGGGTCCTTGCCGGGGTGCTCAATATGATAAGAAAGATCTTATTTTGGGGGATCCAGAAAGCCCCCGCTGCTGCACTCTTGCGTCTGAGGCCGTGACAAACCGTTTAGGCCAGTTGATGGCCCGTATCAATCAAACGGTGCCAATCGGTAAGCATCGGTGCGGTCACAAGCAAACGCGGCCGGACAGCGAATATGGCAACAGCTCTTTCGAGGAAAGGTTGAAGTTTGACGATGAGTCTCTTTCGCCAAAGTGTCCAACCTCTGCATGCCGGCTGAGAGTACTGGATGCTGAGCCGTGTTTCCACTAGTATGAGCCTTGCCTCCGACAAACTCAATGCTTCTGTCGTGCATCGTAGCAACGTGGGGAAGCATCTCCCTCGGGTTTTCCAACATACAGCGTGCAATCCCACATGAAGTCAGGACTCTTTAACATGTTGGACGATGCAGAACACTTTGGGTACCTGCGGCAATTGCACCTGCAACGGCAACACGTGTCAAATGGATCGCCAAGATCAGAGCTCGACAACCGGGCATGCTCGTCTAGGACCCCAATGCTGATTGAAGATGTGCTGCCGTCTACAGAAACCTTAGAAGGTTGCCAGCGTTCTTCAATCGTTAGCTTTCAAGCTTCGGTCCTCGTTCACGGATGGTCTGTGAAGACTTTTGGAGGCCGCAAGCAATCCCTGTGACCCAAGACCACACGAGCTAGTCACCTGGAACTCATGGGAATTCATGGCTTTTCTCTTGCATTGGTTCGCCTTTGCAATATCTGTGCTGGTGTGACTCCTCATGACCACCATGGCACGAGTTGTTAAGCTGAGCTTCTCTAGCTGACTCTAGCTGCAAAGCTGGGTCCGTTGTCAATATAGATCCCGACAAGAGCTTTGACAAGACTTCACGTGCGTTCTGTACGTTGCGAGGGAGTGCTTCGAAAGAACTTGAAATAGTCCATCATGCCTGCACGCAGACTCGTTAAGCAAGTGCAAGTATTTTCTGCCGTCCGCGACATCTCCGCAACCTTTAACAAGAAATTTGGAGAACTACCCGCTCATACGAAATCGTCAACCGCTTCCGGTCGCAAGCTGAGGCTGCTCAAGGGCGCCTGCGAAGGAGATCCCGTCCTGGTGAGAGAGGTGCTCCTGAATCCGACGATAACCCACGGCTCCAGCAGTTGCAAGCGCAGTGCACATGTAAGTTTGAGTTAGTAACCAGTCGAAGGGAGGCAGCGGCAGTTCGCAATATGACCTGCATATAAGCTGACAGCGTGCTGAAGATCGGGCAGGCGCTCGATGCCGGGGCTGCAACCGAGATAAGGCGAGGCTTCGGCATGCTTTGACGAAAACGCTGTGAATCAAATGAGGGCTTGCGCAAGCAGGGCGGTGTCAAGCAGCGCCGTAAAACGCGGCGTTGCGGAAAAGTCTGCCTCCTGGATCATTCGGAATCATTCGTGACGCATTCCTTTTGTTAATTGTGGTACGACCAGCATATCTGAGTGAATGGCAGCGATGTGCTGAGTTGCCTGGGTCTGACGGCCTTGATGCATGCCGCAAAAGGAGGCCACCTGCGCGGCCCCAAGTGGAATTTCGGAGACTTGCCAAAGCCTCGGCTCGGACTTTGGCCGACCCCTTGAAAGGACTTGCGTCATGGCATTGCTGGATTCGCGTGCCGCGCTGGATGCTGAAGACGAGGAGCTGAATCAAGTGCTGTAAAGTGTGTGTGTGTGTGTGTCCCGAGCAACACCGTGCGACCCTCAGGACGGTGCAACTCCGCTTCACTATGCTGCCATATCCGGCGACCTCGATGTCTTCAAGGCGGGATCGATGCGATGGCGGCGCCGATAAGGCAGTTGATGCTGAGGCCCTGATCCTGGCCGGTGCGGATGCGTCACTGAAAGACGCAGAACAGAGAACCGCCCTGGCCGAGCCAGCCTGTTTCGCAGAGTTATGCGGGCATGTGCGGGCCCTCTGTGGCAAAACGCAGCAATCAGCTCACGCTTTCGACTTCAACGTACTCGTAGAACGTGGGCTTCTACTAGCATCGTTCAGAGTCACAGTCGAAACCTCCAAAGCTTCTACGTAGGCACATAAAGCCAGTCAGTGCAAGGGCTCCGCCAGTCGTCTCCGCCGAAACATGACTCTGATTCCATTCCATTCCCCCCCTTGCTGGTGATAGTATCGATGAGTGTGTTTGACTGCAGTCACCTGGCAGGACTATCTCCCGCAGCACATAAAGAAGGACCCTGACCTTTTGAAAAGTGACGGCCCAAGTGCAGAGGCGGCGAGTGGTGTCTATTTTGCATTATTGACAGCTGTACCTCGAAACTGTTGGCCTGAAAGGTTGGAGGGCTGTTCTTCGAAACGAGCTCCCGTACGGTGTCTGAGTGGGCTGAGTGAGACGCAAGGCCATGCGAGGCCCGCGGGATGTCAAAAACTGACGCCCCTGTAGACTTACAGCAAACTCATAATGCCCAAGAGCGCCCAAGAGCTGTAGTTGGTGCCGTTCTGCTGAAGGGTCCATGTGAGCTCTACAGTCTACAGCTCCTGGCAAAGATATCAGGAGAAGCTGCAATGTGTCTTGGAGAAATCGGGATGATGCACTCCCGGACGTGCGCGAGCGCATCCGAGATGGTCCCGACGCTCGCGAAGCTCCGAGTCGCCAGCCAAGCGCACTGCGAGGGCAACCGAGGGCTAAATGGCGAGACTCTGCGAGATGCGAGGCAGCGAGGGTGAGAATCAAGAAATCCTGACATTGAGCTTGGACGTGCGGCAGAAGCACTTGCCAAACGCTGTGGCATGAAGCATGCACCAGCAAAATTAATAGAGGGACCTATTGAGTTGTGAAAGGCCAAGTTTCTGACCAACTCAGAACCATGTTGGTGCGCCGCAAAGTCATCTTAGTTAAGTCTTAAAGTCTCTGAAAAGGCGAACGGCACCTGCAGCTTCAGCCAGGCAGATGCACAACGCCGGCAAAATACAGTCCGGCCGAGAAGGCCATGTGTCTGCGTTGCTATGGCGGACACGCATACAATGAAGCTAGCATGATACTCGTGTTGCGTCTACCGCTCGGCCTCCATCCATGTGACGGCCGTTGGATGCCGTTGGCTTTCTGGTTAAATCCGCCTGCTTGTTTCAGCTGACGTCGCCGCTTCTGCCGATGACGAAGCCACTCGCGAGTGGCGCCGAGCCCTCGCCTGCGCAAACGAGAGGCCGGGAGAAGTCTCTCTCGCGCGCGCGAAGGGTGCGAACAAGGGGACGCCGTAGCGCCGGGGCTGTATGCCCTCGGCCAACACGACGCCCTCGTCGCTGCAGACGTGACAGCCGCCTGGCTGCTTTCCTCGCCGGCACGCGAACGCGAGGCGCTCGATGTCGTCACCTCCTCAATCGAGACACGGGCGGGCTCCGCCTGGAATCGCCGAGCTCGTGGCAGGCGTGAAATAGCGTGCGCACCCGAGGATCCCGAGGCCGAGCGGGTCCGTTGCCCTGGGCACCCCGCTCGAGCACCCACAGTATGTGGCCGCCCACAGTGCCAATTATTAACGCGTTTGCTCGAGGAGGCGCGGATAGGCGCGGTTACTGCGGGAGCTCCCCCTGCTGCCCGACTGCCAGTGTGCATCATGTGCCCTCGCCGCGAGCTGACCACCTTTTGCGCACCCTCCCGCCCGACCTATGCGCGTGCCCAAGATTACGCTATCTGGCGATGCTTGCTCGGGCTGCTGGGCAATCGGTGACGACGTGGACCCCCAAGTCGCTGCAACACGTCGGCTTGCGTTGCTGCCGGCTCGCCGGGGAGGACTTGGCTTGCAGAGCGCCGAGCGTACCGCCCCTGGGCTGAGGCACTGCCACCTTGCCTGTCGCTTCATGCTGATGCCCACACCTTGGACACGGATGCGGTGCCCACGTTTGCGCCTACGGTGACCATCACGCAGGCCGTCGGACCCGAGGGCCAAGTCAGCAGTGGCTGGCGCGCACGTCTGCCCTTGGCGTGGATCCTGCCGACCGCCGCCTCGACTTCGTCGCTTACGGGGCCAGGCCGCTCGGCGGGGCATTGTGCTGCGACGTCACACTCGTGTCCCCTTGAACACGAGAGGGGAGGCCCCAGCCCTTCGGTGCCTCGCCCCAGCGGCTCTGTGTTCTTGCCTGCCAGGCCGGTGGGCGCTGGAGCGACGAGTCCTTCCGCCTTGTCGCGCAGCTGATGAGGCTCCCAGCCCAGCGCGCTCCTGCCGGCCTGCAAGGGCCTGCCAAGCACTCGGGTTGGTTGCGCCGCTGGTGCTTGTTGAGCGTGGCTTTGCAAAGTACGCTTGCTGGCACGCTCCTTGGAGCGCCACACATTGCTGGAGCCATGCGTTGCGCCCAGCTCCCGGCGCTCGAGGACGTCCTGCACGATGCAGGCTCTCCTACGCCCAGCCTCCTGGGCCCGCACTGGTAGCGCGCAGTTTTTGCACGGGGACCAAGACTCACGGTTCCAGCTCAAGCTAATCCCCTCGTTAACGACTTTATGCATCTGCTGGTCTTAGTGGGTGGGCCTAACTGGAATCCGAGGCCATGCCTCTGATTGTACATGCCGGGCCGCCGGGATATGTACAACGGAGGGGTTTCATGTACATTCTGCAGGGGTCCCGGTTGTACAGAGTCCTGTCCTTGAACGACCACGTGTCGTGGTCAGAAAATGAAACACGACAAGATCCATGAGAAAGTTGGTACACTTGCACAAATACCAACTACACCATCAACCCACTCACACTGTGCGACGCAGAGCGTCCGTAGCATCACATTTCACATGCTCAGCGGCAGAGCATACATTGGCAACAAAGCAGACGTTGTTTGCAATTCAAAAGGGCACAGTTGGGGATTGCGGAGGTGCTAAATAACGTTGACAAATTGAGCAGTCGCCCTGGTCGGCTTCGAGAAGCTGGACGTAACTGGCTACACTCCGGGGCAAGCGTGCGTGTGTGGCGGCAAAGCGTCTGCCCAGGAGGCCTCGTACGCTGCCGGAGTGGGCAGGCTGCAACCCCAAACCGCCTGTGCCTCCGGGAGAGTGGCCAGAAGTCGCGCTTGAACCGCATCGCGGTCGCCCACTCCCCGCAGGATTGTTCGCAGCGTCGCCCAGATGGCGTCGTCGTGTCCTCTGGCATACGCCGCGGACGCTGAGGGAGGCATGGTGCGGATGGCATGGTTAGCTCCGGTTTATTTTCCTTTTTTTTTACGGTCAAAATTCACTAGATGCAGGAACCACACCAGTCATAGCTAGTCCGGCTGACATAAGGCTAAGTGTGGTGTGTTTATTTGTCACAATGTGAGCAGCATGCATGGATCATGGATTCTGTGCGTGGTCAACGGTCGGTTGAAGATGGTTCGAGCGCGACGCCCCGTGTTGCTCAACCAACCAGCCGTCAGGTGGAAGGTTTCAGTGGATCCAACGTGTGGGAGAGTGTGAGTGGGCAGTGACGGTCAGATTGTGTGGGATCAGGATGCAACCTCGGATTTTTCAGCGTGATGGGGTTTCATTCACGGTCTGGATACCAACCCCGAGAATATGGAGAGGATCATCAAACAGCGCACTTGGCCGAAAGGCCCTGAGGCATCATTGGCATTGTTCAAGATGTTTGGCCACGGTCTCATCTCGAACACCGGTGAAGCGGAAACGCTCCCACAGGACCTAGGACCACATACAGACCCACTCGAACCAGAAACTATTGTTGTGGACAAGCTTTCAGCGAGCACCGCCCAGGCTAACGTAATTGCAGCGCAACTAGCTAATGAGGAAGGGAAAGTGAAAAGCACCACATTGCTACCTTTCCGGAAGAGCAACACGCCATTGAGGAGGAGATGCCGGCTATTTTGAGCGGTTTGGATCAGGCACGCCGCTTGAAGCCTTGCTATGCCTGCGGCAAAGTTGTCTTTTGTTTGAACCGGTGGCCGTAGCAGCATTGGAAGAGAGCGAAAAAAAGAGACAAAAGTGCTAGCCGAAGCGATGCTGATGTGCAGGAGGAGAGGCGGCAGGGACGCTCGCTTCGAGGAGGTTTGCGAACGGATCCAAACAAACATGATGGCCGAGCAATCGTCGTGGTCGTCTTGGTTACAAGACCTTGAAGTTCTTGCAGCTCGTTGTCCGCGTGCTGCTGCCCGTACTGTTCGGCGGCGTTTTCGCCACAACAGCACTCGTGTTGCGCATGATCTGGGCCTAAACCCTTCTGCCTCGCCCGATGTGCAAAGCGCTTGCTTAAATCAGTGGCGTGACCATTTTATGTAGTCACGTCAGTTTGCAAGACCCGTCCGGGTTCGATCATCGTCAGTGTGCTCGCGTGCGACGTCGTGTAAAACGCATTCGTGAGACCAGACTTTGCTGTAATTCTGGGGGCCGTTTTTCGATGTTTTTCGCTCTGTGAGCTGCAGACGGTGCTAGCCGCTCTGGCAAAGCACCTGGTGTCGACAACATTCCATATGAGGATATTTGTGTCGCGCGTTGCTGCTTGCGTATCATGGACGCAGTAAAACTCCCCGCATTTGCCGCTCAGTTTCTGCAATCAAATCTTTAGATATCTTTAGAGCGTACGTACGCCCATCAGTTTGTTTTGGTTTGGAATTTGTCGCCGAGGACCGCCAATTGCAGCGTGTGAAGACCCGTTTCTTCCAATGGAGATGTCGCTTATTGACTGCTGCGGTTCAGGGTCAGCTTGGTTGGTTTGATGTCCGATATTCTCGCTTGCTGAGTGCCGCGGGGTTGGGCACGTTGGCCTTCCATCCCAGGCAGATGTGCAGCTGCGGACGTTGCGCATGTCGCCACAGCATCTCCAGGTTCATGGGCTCACAGTCTGGAAGCCGAGCTTCTTGACATGGGCGTTTCCCATCCTGCAAGCTGGGTGTAGGACATGGTGCTAGCCAGTCTGTCATCCGGCGGTGGTTGCGCCACGCGCGTGTTGTTCTAGCCTCGCATGCCAACGCTTGGTATTCAACAACCGTCGGCGGCACCGAGACTTTACACGATTATGCTCAATGGCAGCCCCACCCCAGTTTGCACCCAGTGGTGTATGGTCGGCACGTGTCTCCAGCTCATGCTCGCTATTGGGGATTGGCCCGCTG